AGCTCGCATGCCAGCTTTGGCACATGTGCCATAGGTTGCCTACCCTAGCACTAGACAAAGGAGGGTAGCTTGCATTGCCATTGTCTGTGATGCAACTATGAATAAATGACTTCACTCAGATTGTCAATCCAACTCCAGCTGGCACTCAGAAGGGAAATACAAGAACTATTTTCTGTGTCTTTCATCCTCTCAGTGTCTCTTGGTTTATATTTGTGCTATAAAAATAGGTTACTCGGAGCACTTGGCAGTCCAACATAACTGAGTTACACTAAATTCAAAAATTAGGAATGGTTCTTGGAGGACTGATTTCTCTTTACTGATCTCGTGTCAGATTAGAGCAAAGGTATGTAATTTTGGAGAGCCAATTTCTCACTGAATTAAACTGTGCAGAGCCGAAAACATCACAGCACTGCACGATCAGGAGTCAGAATCATCAATCCAACACTACAAGAAAAGCATTGCAACATCAGGATGTGCTGCTGCAGTTTTTCTATGGCTCTTCAATTAAATCCGACATCTCCACTTTGACCCTTCCTCAGCCCCTTTCCTCATGGCTAAAAAGGACAGGAAGAGATACCGACATCTCTTCCCACTTTGCTCAGCAATAAACTTGCAAGGGGGCACTCCTATGGCAGGAGTGTTCAATTCACTCTGCACAAGACAAGGCTCAGAACAAGGAGCTCTTTACTAAAATTTAAGTCACCTGGGGTAAGGCCCATCTTTTCATTATGCATTTGTACAGTGACTAGCACAATGGGCCCCGATCTTTGATTAAGGCCTCTAGGTGCTACTGTAACACAAACAACGCAGACTTGTGAACTTCATGAAAAGAATCACTGTATCAGAGACAAATCTCAGACTTTTACCTTTTCTGACTGTTGCCCATCTGTCTCAGTTTCCATTTTTTCTTCTTCAACTCCATCTATGAGAAGAAATATAAGTACATAAAGCAGAGTGGTTAAAAGTGCCATAACCACCATTTATTATACTTGAAAATTAATTACAGGTCTAACTGAAATATCCTACTCTGTTCTGTTGTGGTAATTGGGCTTACAAATTTACCTTGATTGTGAGTTTAACTGTAAAAAGTGAGTGTAAGTTCATAAGATGTCACAACCTAAAACAACAAATGTTAATGGGACTAGGTGCAAGAAAACCAGACAGATAATCTGGATTAGTTTAAACCAAAAAGGCCATGTTCATATAATTCAAGGACTGCTGTAATTATACTGGTTAAAAACAAATTATGTGGAGTTAATGAATCAAAATTAGTGTGTCAGAAATTAGGCCTAATTGACGGACAAAAATAATGAGGGAATGGGCTATTCCATCCTTTTTGGGTCCTGAAAGGAAGACTTTTTTGGAAACTAGGGGGAGGAGAGGTAAGGAGGACAAAGAACATAAAAAACAGATTGAGTGAAAGAACAGACAGAGGATACTGAAGCAAGCTTCACCAACATGGCTGCCACCCCCATCATCTCCTGGGATCCCAGGCCTTCATTATCCTAACCCTGAGAGATGTCCTGACCAGACCAGGCCAGAGAGAGGGACCCAGATAATATTCCCACTTTTACTGGTTCCAGCTGAATCCCAGACACCACCTGGGATGAAATGGGATCAGACTTTAACAGTAGTAGCTCCAGCTCATTTCAACTAACTTTCTTTTTCCTAGAGGGACAGTTATTACCATCTTTAATAATATCAGAGACTATTAAACTAGAGGTTTTTCCTTCTAAAACTCTCTCCAGCTGAAGGGAGCAAAACGTGTTAAAATAAAAGCCTTACTTAATTCTTTACATTTCAAATGCTTTAACTTTTTTCCCCCCTTTTCTTTATCTTCAATAGAAGGTTAAAATAATTTTCAATTGTGTTTGCGTCATGGTACTAAGCAGGCTGAGGTCTCTGAATGCCAAACCCTGGACCATGTTTAACACTGTTTAATGTTGGACAGAGACTGGGTTGTTAATGACTTTGGCCCATTTGTTCCACCTAAATACATAGAACAGTTCTTTAGAAAGATGCAAGAAAGCTTCATAACACTGGACACATGGGAGGCTTGGCAGCACAATACATTATGTTATAGCCTTAGTTTAAAATTCAGGTTTAAATACAGCTTCACCTTTGCAGGTTTGGCCAGCCGGGGTATGTGAGGCCAACAATATTAAAATAGAGCTGCATAAGGATAAGATTGTGTCATAGAGGCACGGATTCTGTGACTTTCAGAGACTTCTGCGACATTTTCTGCTTCAGCCCCAGGGCAGTGGGGCCAGAGCAGTCAGCTGCTGCAGGGGGCCCCCGGGGCTCTGAGCCACTGAGGCTGCGGCAAGGGGCCCCTGGAACTGCCGCAGCAGAGGGTGCTGGACACCGCCCCCAACAGCGGGGCTGGGGCTCTCTTCCCCTACTTGGGCTTCAGTCAGACCTCCTGCCCCATTATTTTTAGTACAAGTCACAGACAGGTTGCAGGCTTCCATGAATTTTTGTTGATTGCCCACAACCTGACTTTTACTAAAAATAAAATTTAGCTATGAAGATACATAGTTTGCCTGTGCAGACAAAACTCAAACTGTTGCACACCTGTAAAAGGCCAAGGATACACCACAATTCTATAACATGTTCAATCCGTGTTATAATTCTGTTGGTTGACTATAATATAACAACATGCTCTACCAATGTAGTCAATTTGTCTGTGTAGATGGTCCGTAGCTCAGGCATGCAAGACCAGCCTCAGTTAAGAACTTCTTGTATTACAAGAGTGGGTAATCACTGCTCAACACAAACTTCCTGAATTGCTTTATGAATTCTACGCACATAAATGTCAGCATGCATGGAAAGTCAGTAGGAGACTTTATTTCCAATTTGCAGGTGATCAAAACACTATCAGAGTCTAATTTTATGTTATCCAAATCTGACTGTAGAAGAGTAATTTATGCTCTGTAAAAATATTCTCACACTAAGTTCTAGCACCTCTACAAATTGTGTTAAAACATTAAACATTCACAAGAAAGCCTCTCTATTTCCCTGCCCTAGAATTTGCAGGTCTTCTTTCATGCCCCATAACCACAGTTTCTTTCCCTAAGCTTCACGACCAGGGACCCTAGTTTTCAGTGATAAACCCCGCCCCCCCCCCCCCCCCAAATCCATGTTTTTCCATGATTCAAATGACATGCTGAACTTTAGTTTCCCTAGCCACAACATATATGAGTATCA